CATTTTGCTCTACACTCGATAAACACCGAGATATGCACGTTCTTCATACAACATAATATCAACAGTCTCACTCATAACAGTGAGCTCAATGAACACATCTTCGACTGGAATTGGTCTTCCTTTCGCGACAACAATTTTGTAATCGACTTTGTTGTCTTTGATTGTTAACATGGTGATGTCTTTTTGGACAAATTCAGTTTCATGTATATCAATCATACTACAACCTCGAATATGTCCGAAATTGCACCCTCCAAAAACAGCAATAACAGATGGATAAACATTATCAAAGTAGTTTGCTTCTGTAAATAATGAAATCAGATATTTTTTCAACAATCCAAATTCACACATTTGCTCAATCAACACTACATTTTGAATACTTCGGTGACTTATTTGGATTTCTTTCAAAAATTCAAATATTTTATTTTTGAAAATGTCGAAAAAAGATTGAAAAATTGTTTCATCTGTCAACAGATTTTGTAAATCGAAATGAAATTGTGTAAAATCATTTTGAACTTCATTTTGTTTCGAAAATGAATCAATTGAACGTTTTATTTCATTTTTTAATTTATAAAGCCTTATTCTTTTATTCGTTTTTACACGTTCATCATCATTTTCAGTCATTATAAACAACTCTTTCACTTTTTCGTATCTTTCTTCCAATTCTTTTATAATTATTTCAAAAAGTCTTTCATTCAAGAAATCTTCAGTGATATCTTCATAATTTCGAAAGTGAATTATTTGTAAATTTTTATTATCTTTTTTACCAACAGACAGCTCCAAATTCGTATCTAAATCAATAAAGAGAAAATTACCCTCTGCACGAAACACATTCTTGTCACTCCACACCGATGCTTTCGGATGACTTAACACAAAAAGAACATCAAAACCGGTGCAATGTGCAGCATATTCGAGATTTTCTCTAATTTCTTCGAGAATGTGGTTTTGACAGGTCACAACAGCTTTGATAACAATTATATCTGAAGTACTTGTTTCAAGTTTATTAACAAATCTGAGATAAAAGTAGCGTAAGAGCATACAAAGTGATAAAATAGGACTTATCGACACTTCAATCCCATTTGACATTACATGATACTCACATAATCCATTTGTGTCGGGATAAACATTTTTCGTTGTATCTTTGAGTTGACTCTGTAAAAAGTCGGTATACCTCATGGACAACATATTAATAATGTTTGTAATAGATGTGTTTTCTATTGAACCAACAAAACACTTCCCACTTGTCAAATCAATAGTTGATGGGTTGTATGAATATCCATTTTCAAATGTTAATGATTCATTCATTATTTTATTAAAGTAAGACGCACGAATGTTGGAGTTGCTAATATCTATGCAAACATAATCTATACGTTTCATACTGAAATGGTAATTGTTATTTAATTGATTTAAATGATATTTATTTAAATGAAAAACACAAATGATTTTTATATTATTATTTTATTTTTTTTCGTTGTTAACAATTAGTTTATTGAAAACGATATTTAGATATAGTTAAATACATTGTTTACAAAGAATAATTGCTTATGACTTTTATCAATCAGGCAGTTCAAAAATGATATTTAATAAATTGAAAAAATATAATAATAATACAGTCATTTCATTGTTTTGTATTGTTTATTATCTATTTGTTAATAAATATTTTGAGTAAATTGTTAAGCAATATAAATATTAGTAAAATTTTATTAAACATTTTAATAGATATATCAAACTAAATAAAATAAAAAAGATCAACAAAGTGGACAAAATCTAAAATAACAAAACTTCAAAAAAGTGGACGTTTCACACAACTATAAATGTGGACTTTTCAACGTGAAAAGTTTTTTAAAAATCAATTTCGTTCTAATCAATTTCAACTTTTTTGAACCTTTTTTCCTTTTTAAGAACTTCCTTAATTAAAAAACATAACAGAATGTCTTCTGAGCCAACAAGTTTTACTATTGAACAAAACAAAAAGGCAATCAACGACTATGACTTATGTGAATCCATTGAATATGAAGATGGAATGAGAAACTTGTACGCTGATGTAGATGGCAATTTAGTCCACGAGACATTTGAAGAGATCCGAGACAAATATCCAAAGATGTCCGAAATTGTTTCTAAAATCAATCTAAAAGACAACCCAAGTTGGTATGTAAGCACCCAGTCTGATCCACAACAAGGAATATTTGAGGTCATCCCTCATAAAATCTATCAATACAGAAACAGAGCAGTCGATATCGCAAGTCTCACTTTGATACGAGGAAAGACGGGGTGGATTGCAGTCGACACAATGTCAACAGTCCCGGCTTGTAAGAAGGCAGCTGATGCCATTATGAAAGCAGTTGAAACTGCCCCAATAGTTGCTGTTATCATATCACATTCACACTTCGACCATTTTGGTGGATACACTGCTGTTGGAAACGAAGACACTCCGCTCTTTGTTCCTGAGAAGTTCGAGGAAAGTTTCTTGGATGAGAACATTTATGTCAACGAAGCACAGGCAAGGAGACAACAATACATGTATGGCACTTTCTTGCACGACTCGATGACTAAAGTGACTGACAACACAAACTCAAAAGATAAGCCATTGACTTGTTTGCCAAAGAGTAAACATACAACTGCCATTAAAGAAAAGTGCACCATAGAGATTGATGGAATCGCATTCGAATTTATCCCAACTCCAAACACTGAGGCGCCAGCAAATATGATGTTCTATTTGCCCGAATTTAAAGCAATATTTGTTGCCGACAACTTTGCTTCTTGTATGCATAATCTTGGTTTGTTATTGTTATATAAAATAATATCGTCAAACAGTCTTATCACACTTTGAATATGATAAATATTATAAATAATAACAATAAGGAACATTAAGAGGAGCTAAGGTCAGAAGCGGTAAGATTTGGAGCAAAGCACTTGATGATGCAATTGTGAGTTATGGGAAGGACATCCAAATTCACTTTGCGGGACATGGTCCAGCACTCTTTGGGAATGAAAGAATCAACAAGTTCTGGCGAACCAAAAGAGATTTGTACAAGCACATCCACGACCAGACACTGCGATATGCCAACAAGGGTTATAACATGACTGAAATTGCCGAGTTTGTGAGACTTCCCGACAGTCTCAATAAAGAGAGGTGTTGCAGAGGACTGTATGGCTCACTCAATCACAACATCAAATCACAATATCAATTATACCTTGGAACATATGACAGCAATCCAGCACACTTGGACGAACTTCCACCACGCGAACTTGCAGTGAAGTTTGTTGAGGCGTTTGGTGGTGTTGAAAAGACACTTGAGATTGGACAAGACGCTTACAACAAAGGCGAATACCGATGGGCAGCAACAGTCTTGAATCACTTGGTATTTGCAGATGTCAACAACATGAAGGCACGCGAACTGCTTGCTACAACATACGACCAACTGAGTTACGTTGCCGAGTGCGCAAGTTGGCGATACAACTACCAAACAGCCGCTTACGAGTTGAGAAATTTGAACGACAAGAAACCACGAGACTTCAGTTTCCCAATTGAGGCGATTCCAATGAGAGACTTTGGGGACTTCCTTGCTGTTCATGTTGATCCAAATGTGATAGAAGGACTTGACTGCAAGATCAGAATAGAAGACACAAACAACAAAGAATCAGCAATACTTGTCATTTGCAACTCTACAATTAACTCAAGAGATGGTGGTGATGAGTACGATGGAGAGATTAAAGGAAGTAAACAAGACTTAGTAGACATCTTCATGAGAAAGCAGAAACTCGACGAGTTGATTGAGAAAGGAAAAATTATAGTGAAAAATGAAAAGATTGTGAAAACACTTGTTGAGGGCATTGACTGCGTGCCAAAGTACTTCACTTTTGTTGAGCCACACGTCTAACCACTTTTGATCTTCACTTTTTGGTTGTAAGTTTTATTATAATTTAATTATAAATTTATCAACTTTTATTTAATTATTTAATTAATTTATATCAAACCAATCATTTTATGGAAATAAAAAAGTATCACATTATGACAAAGTCAAAGAAATTCAGATACAATTCCATCAAAAAATGACAAACACAAAGTTAATCCAAAAGTATTTTTTGATATGAAGATTTGTGGTTTTAATTATTAATATGGAATTGAATTAATAAATTTAATTTTTAGAAAATTTAAAAAGAAGGAAAAGGAAAGAGATTGTTAAAAAGGTAAGTGACAATATAAAAGGAAAGTCGGACAAACATCAAAGCGATGGGAAAAGTAGATTTGGTGCCACACAACGAGAAACAACACCACGACGCTCCGAAAAAAGACACAGTTCCAAAGCATACCAAGTACACCCCTAATAACAATGTGGTTGTGACTGACTGTAAAGCCAAACAGTTTAATTTCAGTCACTTTGGATAAATGTGGTAATTCAGTATTTGTTGTTATGGTTTTGTTGTTTCATTACAAATACTTTTGTTTTAAATTTGTTATTGTATTTGAATCACACATATCACACATTTCTGATTAATAAGTTTATCAGAGCACAATATATTCTTTATATAATTTATAACCAATACTTAAATTTGTGTTCTAATATATTCATTTGTGTTTATTATCTTATGTATAATAATAATTATAAAATTATGGTACATTTTAATTATTTATAAATAATATTATTATAATAGTTATAGTATAATTAAATTATAGATATAAATGGTTTAATCAAGTCCCATAATTTTTAAAAAAGAGAATACAATTAAATATATAGAAAGGAATTATCATTCTTGAAGTTGGAATGTTTGAGATGGGAGTATCAAGTGTTCATTCATCACTGAACTATTCTCGGGAAATTCCTAGAACATCAGGGTAGAAAGTACCAACCTTTAATAGGTAGGTGGAACTCATGGATGCATAGAATCTTCAGATGAGCTTAAACCATGTGAACCATTTTCGTTGTAAATACAGTTATTCAAACGCTTATGTAACTCGATGAGGGTCAGTCTCCAACTTCATTTTTTGATAATGAATTGTTTTTATTAATTTATAATAATTATACTAAATAATTGTAAAACTATTCGTTTAAATTTAAAAAATTTGATTTAATAATTAAAATACAAATAACAGTGTCAGTTAAACAGCATCGAGTGCTTTTATCTTTGATTTTGATGGCTATAAAAACCAATTTAATTGTTATATGTAAATATGATATAAATAACAAAGAAATGTTGTTTATACCCTTTTCACTTTTTTGCATTCTTTAAAACAATTTTCACCCAAAGACTCTACAGTTTTAGGAACACAAATCTTTAATAAATTGCATCCCATAAAACAAGAGGCGCCAATTGATTTGACAGTTGCTGGGACTTTATATTCTTTCAATAATTCACACCTCAAAAACGCCATAAATCCAATTTTAGTTATATTACATAGAACATTAACAGTTTCTAAATTACTGCATTGATAAAAGGTATAATCTGGAATTTCTTCCAATTGATCTGGAAGTTCAAAATATGGCAAATTGGTACATCCTGAGCAAAGACCGAGTCCGATTTTTTTAACAAGAGGTGGTATTTTAACATCTATAAGTGAAGTGCAGTCTTTGAATGTATTTTTACCAAATTTAGTAGCGGACCCTCCAATAAATATTGATGTCAAACTTGAACACTCCATAAACACGCCATCTCCAATAGAATTTTCAATATTAAAAATGTTGACTGACTTCTGTGAACCACAACGAGCAAAACAGTTGTCTTCAATTGTTTTTAATAATGTTGGAAATTTGATGTTTTCTAACATGGAACAACAAGTGAAACAACATTTGGGTAGAACTGTAATTGAATCAGGTTATATTATATTTGTAAGTTCACTGCACTCAAATAAACTGAATTCACCAAGTTTCGAGAGTGTCTGTTATAAAATCGGTTCTATAATCTGATAACAAGAGCTGAATACACAATTCTCTATTTCTTTTAACTGAGTGGACATTTTAATGATGTCAAAC